AAAAAAGAAAGAGGGGGAAAAAGGAGGGGGAAGTTGCAGTGTGGGGTAGGAAGGAAGGGAGAGATGTGGGAGAAGAGAAGGAGGGATGAGGATGGAGAGTGGATGAGGGAAGGGTGAGGAGAGAGATGAGAAGGGGAGGAGGGAGAGGAGAGGGGGAGGAGAGAGGGGGTGAAGGACAGAAAAAAGAGGGGAGAAGAGGAGAGAAGGGGAGAGGAGAAAGGAAGGGAGAGAGAGAGAAAGAGAGGGAGAGAGAGACAGAGAGAGAGAGAGAGAGAGAGAGAGAGAGAGAGAGGAAGAGAGAGAGATAGACACAGAGACACAGAGAGAGAGAGAGAGAGAAAGAAAGAAAGACAGACAGACAGAGAGAGAAAGAAAGATAGGGAGAAGCGCATGCAGAGCAGAGGGCCCTGCCTGCGATAGAAGCGGGAAAAAGGGACAATGTTTTTTAAACAAACCTACGCTGAAAGCTCCTGCAGCTTCGCGTCAAGGCGTTTTGTGTCGGCTGCGGAAACGCCGCAGCTCAGAAACGTAATGTAAGCAACCTCCTCCTCGTTCACCTGCTGCCTGTCCTTTCTGGAAGTGCTGGTGCTCTTGCGACGAGACCTGTTGTTGCCAGTAGAGTCGGTGCTGCTGTCTCTGCTGGAAGAGCTGCTGCAGCGAAGCTGCCGCGTTTTCTGAGAACTTGCCTTGAGACGCTTTCGTGTGTCGGTACTGACAGCATCACTCCTATCCGAAGCGCTGCCGCTGCTACTGGGAAGAGGTCTTCTCTGCCGCTTCTGGAAGGCCGCATCCTTTTGTTGCGTAATGGATTGCCGCGGGTGCTGCTTCGGCTTCTGCTGCAGCTGCAGTTGCAGTTGCTCCTCGCGTCTCTCAAGCTCCCGCTGCAAGGCACGCAGCCGCTCCTCTTTCTGTTTGATCTGCGCGTCTAAGTCATTGAGAAGCTCCTCCTGCTTCTGCGTTTTCTGCAGGCGCTTCTCATGCTCGTGCTTTTCCTGCTGACGCTGCGCGTGCTCTACCTGTTGCCTTTGTCGCAGCTCTTGACGTGGCATTTGAAGCTTTTTGAGGAGAGCCGTTGTGTCCTCTTCCTCATCGTCACTCAACCCCAGAAGCAGCGATCCGCGATGCTGAGGGAGTCCTCCCTGCGGCTGCTTGCCGGCTGCGGTGGGCTGCACTTGAAGCTCTTGTTTCACCAAATGTACAGCGCGGCAGCGGATTTGCTCCTGCGCTTCTTGCTTTTTATGCTGCTCCTCTTTCTGATGCTCGTGCTGTTTCGTATCTTCCCGCGCACGTGCTTCTGGCTGTAGCTGTGGTTGTTGCCCTCCCTCCCTTTTCCGCTGCCCTTGGTGCTGCTGCTGCTTCTGCTGCTGCTTCTGCTGCTGCTCTGAACACTCATGCAGCACCTCGTTTGTCTGCTTCTCCTCAATGTCAGCTGAAACAGGGGCCTTGCATAATAGCCCGCTGCTGTTGTTCATTTGGCGTGCGGTGAGCATTTCCCGACTGCTGCTGCTTGCCTCACCGGCGGCAGCAGCTCTGTTCAGAGTGCTGCTAATTTGTGTGTTTGGGGATGAAGGGAAATTCTCATCGGCCGCGTTGGCGGGAACACAAACCTTCGCTTTGCAGTGCTCGAACACGTCGGGAGCTTCAGACTTAACGCGTATATGCATGTGTTGCGTCTCTTGCTGCTCTTGCTGTTGCTGCTGCTGCTGCCCCTCTTGCTGTTGCTGCTGCTGCTGCCCCTCTTGCTGCTCCTGCGCACGTGTTGACTTGTATTCAACCCGAATAGGATCGGGTTGCTGCTGCTGCTGCCTTTCCTGCTGCTGAAGCTGCTGCTGCAGCTCATTCTTCGTTGCAGGGTGCCTCGCTTCTTGCAAGAGTACAGAAGCAACAGCTGTTGCCCTCTCGGCAGTATTCGCTGTTGGTGCCGTTGTTGTTGCAGCGGCTGCTTCGCTCGGGGTTGTTCGCTCTGTTTTAGGGGTGACTCTAAAGGAGGTGAGATCTGGCATCGCTGGCAGCAGCGGCAGCAGCAGCTGGTGCAAGTCCGCCTGCAGAGCATCCGCTACGTTGCGAGTATTGTTGCCCCCCCCCTTGTTGTTGCTGCTGTTGATGCTTTCTTGTCGGATGACAGAAAGCAGCAACCGACACGGTACGAGCGCTGCGGTGTCAGTTACGCGCCATTCCAAGAAGTGACTTGCACGACTGGGGGGCACTACATCTTTCCACTTGTGCCTTTGCTGCTGCCTTTGCTGCATCGGCTGTTGGACTGTTGCAGCAATCACCGGTGAAGGGCAGATGCCACGGGTTGTGAGCTCGTCAGCGCGGCTAAAGAAGGCGGCTGCTGCTGCCCTTGCTGCCGTTGCAGCAGCCGAGGACGCCATCCGACTGCCATCTATGAGGTCCCTGTCGTGCTGCTCTGAGGTGTACATACACCGCGGCCAGGGAGAAAATCCTAAGGGGTGCACCAAGCATTCTAGCAGTACTTGGATCCGGCAGCCCGCATCCTGAGCAGAAGTAGTAGCAGCAGTATCAAAACAGCATCAGTAAAAGGGGTGCAATGTGGGCAGCATCGGGATGCCGCTGAGCAGAATCGCCACACCAGCTGCAGGGTGCAATAAATCGGCATCGCGTCTGTAACATGGAGCCGTGCATGGGGCTGCAAGCTCTGCTTGCTTGCCATTGGATTACGGGCAAATGGACTTAAAGGCTTTGAGAAGATCAATGTACCTTGAGAGCTATGTATGGCGCAAGCGCAACGTCTGCCGCATAGGCGAAGGAAGGCGATACCATGAGGGCTCCGTGCACATGCGGCTTTCCCCTGAGGGGCACAGGAGCCTCCACGAAGTCTCCCCTAGTAGAGGAAGGCTTGCGGTCGACCCCTATGCGAGATGCAACAACACCAGAACCTGCAACAGAGGCTAGAAAGGCTCCGACGTCCTCAGGCGCACCGAAGCCGATGCAATTTGCATTCACCGGATAGTAGCAAGGGTAGAAGCGTTCATACAGCCATCCACCGCATTCAGCACACCGGTAGGTGCTTGCGCCGCCTTTGCCGCTGCCGTTCGGGGGGCCACTTGGCACTGTTACAGCCGCTGTCGAGGCGCATGCATGCCCCGACACATTCGAAAGAAGAGCCGCTGCTGCTGCAGGGGTGCAGAGACACCCCACGCGTGCTGCGTGGGGGCAGTCCAGCGGGACAGCGACAAAGTGCAGGGGACGCGAGAAAGGCAGCGGAGGGCATCCTGCGGTGTACATACGACCGGGAGACGCTGTGTGGCTGCATGGCCGCTTTGCACTGCTGGGACTGCTGCCGTTGCTGCTGATCAGGCGGTAGCATTCCGAGGCATCCAATCTCAAGAGCTCCGCAGGGATTCCGAGGCACTTCTGCAGCAGGTGTGGCGTGAGTGACTCCGCCTTGCACTTGCTGCTGGTGCTGCTGCTGGTGTTGCTGCTTGGGCAGTCGTGTGTGCAGTTGCTCGTCCCTTTGTTGACTCGCGGAGTGAGAGGCTCTGCAGCCCGCCCTGCAAGAGACTCCATGAGAGTCTTCGGGGTATTTGCGTGAGCTTTCAGCGGTAGAGGCCTTACGGGGGAGATGATGGACGGAAGGCAGTGACTTCAGTGGAAGCCGCTCTACCGCGCTGTATCTGCAGATCGCGCTGCTTGCTGCAGACCCTGCACTCCCTGCAGTAGGGTCCCGCACAGCGAAGTCCACGAAGCCATGTAGCGTGGAAAACAGGAAGAAAATCTCCAGCAATAGAAGGAACACCAGCCGCGGAAGGAGCCGCCGGGGGTGGTGAGGTCGCTGGCCTCCCGCTGTAGGGGCTTTGGGAGAGGCAGCTCCATACACACACACACACGGGAGCGCTCGCAGCCGTAGGACTCTTGAGTTCTGCTTTTTATGCGAAATGCAGAAGGCATGCCTGTAATAGCGGAAAGAAGGGTTCTAGCGCAAAGACACCTCCCATGCCTCTCGTGCTGCAGGGCATGCCGCCACCGACGTGGCGGAAGCGGCACAGGAAATACAAAGCTTAACACGCATGCGGCAGGTTTTGTTTGTTTTCTTCCTCATTGAGTGCTGCGCCTTGCATCACTGTCCCTTCTGACTGCACCACGGCCCTCTGAGTTGTTGGCTTTGGCAAGCCGCAATACCACCACATGTGCAGTTGCAGCAGTAGCACATGCAGCAGAAGGGCATGGTCAGCAACAAGGAGGCCACGGCGTATATCCTCTGAGGAGCTGCTGTGGATTCCTGAGCTTCCATCTTTACCCATAACGTGTGCAGAGCTGCCGTAGCAGCTGCACCGACTGCTGCTGCTGCTGCTGCTGCTGCCTCAGCGGCGGCAGTCAAGAGGATGGTCGTGGCGTGTGTTTGCTATGTGGGCCGTGAGGTGCGTCTTATCACGTCATTGCGTTTTCTGGATTCCGCTGTCTCAGTGTTTGATGACTCTCCTTCAGCGTCGGCTCTGCTTTCCGCCACTGCTGATGAGAGTGCTACTGCGTGCTGTTGCGACTGCTGTCACTGCTGCTGATCAGTCGGGAGCAACAACCCCCCTCCCCCACTTTCCCCTCCACCCACAGCATCCAATCTTTTGAGCGCTTTCCGAGGAGGGAGCTTGAGTGCCCTGCATGCCTTGCCTGTGGGACTGCACTATTGTCTGCCGCAGAGTGAGCCCCTCTGCTTCCGGGTGTATGGTGACTCTGAGGAAATTCCCATGCAATTCGCCGCGTATGCGGCCCTCGATGTCATCGACGAGCAGCGTACGCAGCCTTTCCTTTCCGCGGCTTGAGGTGGTGCAGTAATTCCCCGATCGTGCATGTTTTGATGCTGGATATGAGGCGTGGTCTGCAGCGTGTTTTCAGATGGTCCCGCTATTACCAAACGTTCGCAGCAGCAGCCATCTCGCCTCTTGTAGCAAGTGCACACACGCTCTCTGCATGCTACTCGTTGTGTGTGTGTATGTGTGTGGGTGTGTGTATGCAGTCGCTGCGGAGCAGCAGCAGCAGGGGGCCCCCGGGGGCCCCCCTTCTGGTGGAGACAGTTTTTTGGGGCTTGCATGCCCCTGTTTAGGCACCCTTCAGGACGCCTCTCTTTACGCCTACGCCGCTCCCACCGGCCTTAAGATCCTCGTTGGCCTCTCACTCAAGGCTCCCCTACACGAGCAGGAGCTTCGAGCGGTGAGAGAAGAAGAGGCGGCGCACACCTCTCGAGAAAAGCAATGCGGGAGGCAAGCGCTTGGCTGTGACTGTGTTGGCAGCCTGGGAGCTCTCCGAGCACTCAAAACGGGGGAGGCCCGTGCAAGCTTCACGCAGCTTGGGGGCAGCTGAGCATCCCTGAGGTGATTTTTTGAGAGCCGCATTTTTTGGAGGTCGTTGTCGTTGGTGGTGCTGCTGCTGCTGCAGTTCTTCAAACGCCTGCACCGGCTGTACGCTGACGCGGTGTCGAACCCCTTCTTCCTTGATACCATCGAGACTCCCCGATTCCTCTTCCAGCTAGGTGAGCTCTCCACTCGCTGCACCCTAAATGTACGCCGTAATGTCGACCGGACGGCGCAAGAAGGCAAGCCTGCGGAGAGTGCTCTGTGCGCTGCTAAAAGCTGCAAAGTCGCGCACACGGCCTCAAGGTTAGCACTAGTTTCAGACCAAAACTCGCGTCAAGCCCCCTCTCTCTACGATTTGTGGTGCAGACGCCATCGTGCAGTACTACAGCACTCGACTGGAAGTGTCATGAGGCCCTTCAAGAGTCCTTCCTGCGCCTTCCTCGTCTCTGCGTGGCGTGCGCAATCCCTGCGCGTCCACATGCGAGTCGCAGTCAGACACAGTGCAGCGGGGCAAGGCCAAGAAACCCCGCTCTTGCCGCTTCTCCCAGAACCCCATGTGTAGAGGCTGTGTATGTACACAGCCTCTACACATATCACCTCGCAGAGAAGGGCGAAGAGGATTGGCGGCTCGTGCCGAAGACGGCAGTCGACCTCTGCGCCGCCTATAGGGGCATTTTAGGCACCTAGCGCGTTCGCAAAGGCGTCTCGCGCGCTGCATGCCCTCCTCTCTTCTCCCCTCCCTCCCTTCTCCCCCTGTTTCCTTCGAAGGCCTTTTAGTGGTTTGGTAGTTGAGCGCACCCTTCTTCTAGACTAGGTGTCTGAGCTCTTCCAGCTGGGTTCCCACACCCCGCGTCAGGAAGACGGCGACTACAGCACAGCTAACGGCAACTGTAACGTGGGCAGTAATCACAACGGCAGCAGCATAGTAGAAGAAGTAGGCCTTCCAGTCGTCGCACCCCTCAGGACTCTCCTCCTCAACGAAGATTGCCTGGGAAGAAGTTACCAAAACAAACATGCCCCACCCTGCGGTGCACAAATCCACAATCGCCATAGACATCGTCACCACCGTAGCGACCGCCCACTCACGCTCCGTCCCCCAAGTCTCGCAGGAGAGGAGGGAAAAGTAAAAAATCATAGCAAAAGCCACGGCTGAAGGAAGGGCAGCAAACGCAGCACACACCCACGCGGAAGAATGCCCCTAGACATACACACCGTGCGCATGCATGCAGGATGTCTTGCCAGCGAGCGAGGTGCGAGCGTGCAGGATAGGAAGCAAGAGGAGAACCCGTAGACAGAAGTGCCCCTGTTTTAACGCCCAAGCAACGGCCACGGCTAACGTGTGTGTTGTCGGTCGGCTGCAGTCGAGGTGGTATTCCTAGGTGCACCGCCTTGCATAGGCTTCAGGCTTTCCCCGTGCACTTGGCTAAACGTGTAGACAAACGAAGAGGCGGGGGGCGCTGAGTGAGTTACTCTTCATGTCCCGTTGCAGAAGCACAGGGCTGTTAGGGCGGCTTTACGGCTTTAGTCAGCCCGTCAATGTTTACAAAGTACCTGCGCATACGGCGCAATAGGTCGAGTTGTCCAGTAGCTGGACGCAGTAAAGATCCCACATCGAAGGAAAGGCAAAGGAGGCCGCGGCAACGAGGAAGAGGACCATGTGCAGGCAAATAAGGAGCAGGATCCACCATCTCACAGGATTGTGGATCAAAGGAGCAGGGCCTCCCCCAGGCTGCTTCGTAAATAAATACCGTAGCATCATTTTCGCGCCTCGGGATGTATGGAAGATACGCTACAGACTGCCAGTCGTGCTGCTGCTCGGCAGGCAGCCGCGACAAACGCCTTTGATTTCAGTGTCGTCAGAGGTGGCAAGACATCCGGATGCTGAAATAGCGGGCCCCAGATGGCAGTGCAATTGTTTGTCATGCGACAAGGAGGAGCCTCTTTGGTGGCGGCGCCAGCAAAGAAGAGTCAATCAAATGTGCTGCTGTCTTCGCGCCTGCCCCCTGCTGGGGTACTCCGAGCGCACATTTGCCCTTCAGTAAGAATAGCGCAAAGAGAGTGGGGTGTTGATCCATGCGGAAGCCCGGGAGAAGGCTCCTGTTGCAAGTGTTGGTGGCGGCAGTTGCGCTGCATAGGCTGCCGCAGCTGTCCAAGTTCGAGGTGCCTTCCTTGCGTGCTGCCGGCGAGACACTAAAGCGGGCACCCACGTTGAGCCCAAAAGAAGATCCCCCGAAAAAATCACAGAATCTGTCGTGGATTGCGGGTGTAGAGACCTGAGCAGCAGCAGCAGCCTCAGCAACAGCGGTTGCTGCCGCCTTGCGGATCACTGAAATTACACAGCGTCCAAGTCGAATGTCTGAGGTTCCGGCTTACTTCCTTCTACTCATAGGCCACACACGGCACTGACCGCATGATTAAAAGCATCCGTTCCTTCTGGTGCATCCTCAACAGTTGTAGTGGGAGCTGCTGCAGCCGCCGTCGCTGCTGCTGCCCTTACGGGCTTGCTGCTGCTTGCTGGCCTGCTGAGGGGGCCCTAGCCGAAGGGCCTCAGGGTGAGGCGGCAGTTCTGACTGGCATTGCTTCTCCTCTTTGTTTCCTTCATTACTTTGTTTGCGTCTGCCGCTCTAGGCCCCCTTCCACGTTCTTGCTGCTGCAGAGGCAGCAGCGACGCACAGACGTGTTAGCCTGCGGAGCCACACTCGGCTGCCGTCCTGCTGCGTCGGTTTTCCGATCCCGAAGGTTTTTGAACCCTTAACCGTAGAACCTGACCCTTCCCAGCCTTCCCTGTTTGGTGGACGGCTCTCTTTGCTCACGACTCCCTGCAAGCTCCGGCGATCTCGAGGCCTAGGGGGCCCTGTGGGCAGCCGATTTGCAGCCTCATCAGCGACTCTGCTGCAAACCGCATGGAAACGTCGGCGTTTGGCGGCCCTCGCGACTTACACCAGGGCCTAGGGGCCCTTGGGGCCCCTCAACGCGGCACAAGCCGTGGGTAGGTGCCATCAGTACCCCCCTTGGCGGTGGCTTCGTCTGCTGCCACTGCAGCTGCAGCACAACTCCTTGAGGCTCTTCGCCCTCTCGAATGGCGTGTCTCTCCCAAGACACGCAGCTGCAACAGTGGCTGCCGCTGCCCCTCGATGACCCCGGGGGCCCCCAGTTCCTTCGGCAACCCCTTCAGCCTGTTGACCCCTTGGTACACCCAGGGCCCCTCAGCGAGGCGGGGGGCCCCTCCGGAGCTGCCCGCCCCTGCACGCAGGCCTCTCATCAGTCTCAACAGCATCTGCAGCAGCAAGTGATGCAGCCGCAACACAGAAGTCAGCAGCAACAACAGCTGCACTTGCACCAGATGCAGCAGCAGCAGCAACCACACCCGCTTTCACAGCAGCAACAGCCACAGCAGCTCTTGCAGCAACAGCCTCAGCAGCAGCAGCAACCACACCCGCTTTCGCAGCAGCAGCAGCCACAGATGATGCCACAGCAGCAGCAACAACAGATGATGCAGCAGCAACAGCAACAGCAACAGATGATGCAGCAACAACAACAGATGATGCAGCAGCAGCAACAGCAACAGCAACAGCTGATGCAGCAGCAGCAACAGCAGCAACAGATGATGCAACTGCCCGCCGTCCCCCAGCAGCACCCAACAACGCCACAACAGTCGCCGACACAGCCACATCGGTACCTGCAACAGCAGCATTGCTACATGCAACAACTCCAGCAAGCACAAATGCCACCACAGCAGCCGCCTCCGCCGCTCCCCATGGTCGCTCATTCTCATGCGCTTTTGCAGTCGTCAGCGACCCCCACGAGGCCCCTTCCTCAGCACCAGCGGCAACACCAGTACCAGCAGGCACCAATGGATCAGAACTGTGTAGGGGTTGGTGGTGGGTGTGTTTCTGCAACGGATCCATTCACAGGCGGCCCTTCTCCAGCCGCCTCAGGGGGTGCTCCGGGAACACCAGGGGACAAAAAGCGGAAGGCTTCCTGGCGAACTCCCGCCCCTAGAAGAAAAGGCAGCCCAGGTGAGGTTCTGCTGCAGCAGAAGCAGCACCAACAGCAACATCACATGCAACATCTGCAGCAGCAGCACAACGTGCAGCAAGCGCAGGAGGCGATTTCTCCGGTGTGTGGTAACCAGACCGTGCTGCAGCAGCCGCCGCAACAACAGCCGCCGTTCGCCAAGCAGCAACAATTTCAGCAGCCTCATGCAATGCAGGCTGCTCGGGATGACAGGCTGCTGCAGGTGCAACAGCAGCAGCATACCATGGCGATGCCTCAACGGCAGCAGCAGTTGATGTCGCATCACAAGGCGATGATGTCTCAGCAGCAGCAAGTGACCCCACCACAACCACCCTCCATGCCGCAGCAACAACAGCATCCACGGTTTTTATCTCAGGAAAATCCTGCTGCTGTGCAGCAGAGGGGTCAGCAGCACCAGCACAAAGAGGGCATGCGCTTGGGGAGCACGCCTCCGCGCTCTTCGTCTGTTTGTGCTGCAGCTGCGGGAAATACGCATCTAGGCTCTAGCAGCGACGTGCAGAAGCAACTGCAGCAGCTGTTTCAGCTGCATCAGTCCTCTTTGCTGCTACAGCAGCGTGAACTGGACCTCGCCGTCAAGGAGCTGGAGTTGCAGTACCTTCCTTTGCTTTGGAGGAACGGCGAGAAAGTGGGAGGTTGCAGCAATACTGGCATCAGCAGCGGGATCCCCCTATTGTGGGATGTGCCTTTGCATAAGTTTGTGTCGTGGAAGGGGGAGAGGGCTAAGGCTTTTTCTGCCCTAGGAGAGGGGAAGTGGGCGCTCTGGCCCGCCAGCCGTCCCGACACTCGCTGTGAATTGCTGCAGCAGCAGCTGCTGCACCTGCTGCAGCGCATGGCCCCCATGTGCACCTGGGAGCAGCAGCAACAACAACAGCAGATTTTACTGCAGGTTCTGAAGCTTTGGTCGATTGGGAACTCGGAGGAGGGCGTCCATGGGGCACTCGCCACGCAGGGATGTCCAGAAGTAGTGGGCAGCATTACTAGCAGCATAATACGGCTTCCTCCGCCTAGCTGCTTTAGCTGGGATCCTAAAGAGGGAAATGTTCCTTTTGTGTGGAAGCCCGTGGGAGTTACCCAGCCATCCAGAGATCAGAGAGACTCGACTCAGCGAGGCGAGACAACCGAGACTGGACTACCACAGCGATGCGAGCTGGACAAGGCGGAAGCTGAGAAGTTTCAGCTAGAGGAAAACGAGCCGCTTTCCCAGCAGACTGACCCCCAGTACCACCAGCAGGAGAAGGGGCTGCTCTTTCGAGAGCATTGCGTACAAAAACACCCGCAGCAACCAGAACACCAGAACCGCAACGTCGCCTGCAGGATAGGAGCGCATCCTTTAGAGAAAATCCCCGAGGTCGTGGCGCTGAGCGAAAGTGTGAATCCCTCTTGAGGCTCAGCATCCCCTCTACAAATCAAACACAGCCGCAGCCGCACCACTTTCCCACTTTACACTGAGCGGCATAAACATCCGTGGCGGCAGCAGCAGGCGCCCCCGCTGCTGGCTTTTGCCGTGTGGCCTGCATGCAAGCGTAATTACTTTGATTTGAAAGTGCAGCAACAGCAGCACCTATAGCATGTGCGCAGCCGCTTCTCCATTTGGTGTTTTGGAGACGGCATACCATCCTAAAGCTCCCCTTGTGTATTCTCGCACGCAGCTCGTCCTAATAGTGGCCTTTCCCTGTTGCAAGCTTTGTGCAGGACTACATCATATGTCTCCTAGGGACCCGTGTGGTGGCTGCGCACGATCCAGCGCAGCCCCGCAGATGCTTTACTTGAGGCCTCGTAGGGCGTGGCTATGGCCACTACTGGCTGCTTCCGGGTTGAGCTTCTGGTGCCAAGGTGGTCTTTTCTGGCTTCACAGAAGCAGCAATACTACAATCTGTTAGCTAAAACTACATCCTATTGGGGGCCACATGCAGCACACTCCTCCTGTCGCGAAGAGAGGGGTGTGCTGATGAACGCCGCTACATGTCACGACATGTGAACGCCTAGCAGTACCAGCATGTGCACTAGCAATGTAACGCTCCATCGTAAAGATCTTCATGAGGAGACGTTTATATCCAGACTTAACTACGTTGTAATAAGTGTCTGCAGTTGTGGCATCCCAGGAAAGTGCTTGTGGATTGCCCCGCTCCCATGGTTATGGCTGGCTCTCCGCTGAATCAAGGCCTTACAACGCGCTAGGGGTGTCGACTTCCTTAGTGCAATGACCAACGCTGTAGGTAACAGGTTAGCTCTCCACTGAGACACTGTTTAATACATCGGCCATATTTGACCAGGATGTGATAAAGAACTGACTAATTAATTAGGTTTCGCATAATATCTTCCTTGCAGGTCTCCGTTGGCCCAGTCTATGCAGGCGCAATTTTGTATAAGTTGCAGAAGATGCCAGGTGCAACTAGCTATGCACGCTAGAGATACATAAAACGTGCATCTACGCACACTCAAGTTGTCCCTCTCTCGTCGAAAAATTGTGACGGGCGCGGGAAGGGAAGGGCGGAGATCAAAAGAAAATCATTCAGTGTGCTATTGTTTATCGAGGCTGGGGTTACGTGTTGGCATATGAAGACCTTAGATGGAGCGTTAGGGTTGGTAAAGCCGCTTGATTCGATGTGCTTGCTCATCATTCATCCATTGGCGATGGATACAGTGGGATGTCAGGGTGCCCCTCAGCAGTTCTCTTATATCGATGGAGTTATCAGGTACTCCAACAACTTCATATTCTTTGGCAACTGACAAGCAAGATAAAAGCCTGTTAAAAATAAAAATAAGGGAGGCACGATGTCTCTCGGGCAGAGGGAGGCTGGCCTGCAAGCTGTCGTGAACTCAGTTGCTCCCTAGCAGGTAGATCGGCATGGTTTGTCAGCCACCTACAGTTTGTGGATGCGTTCATGAGGTTATGCTGGCCAGAAAAAATGATATGCAAAACGATGGGCAACAAATTAAAAATTTCATAAGCTGGTTGGAGATGTACCTCGTTCTCAACCACCAGAGGAAGTAAAACAAGTGGTCCTTTCACAAACTTTATTGGAAGAACAAGTGCGTTAATATAGCGTTATTCATGAAGTAGGAAGTCGTTTGCTTGTAGGAATTGCTACATTTCAGGCGTTGATACAATCCCTCTCTAAATGTTCTTTGTTGACATCAGCATAACAGCAAGCTTTCGGCGGATGGAGAAGACTGAATCAGGAAAAGCTAGCAATTTATGGAAATTTTGATACTTATGATCGTTTGATTTGCAATAGTCATGAATGCAAAAAAAACACTTAATTAGTGATTTGTGTCAGGTCTACCCGAAGCCCGACATTAGGTGGTCGCAGGATAGGCAGTGACTCACTGATTAAGCCACCGGCCTGTGGGGTGCTTACAGTTGATGTTCCAGAAACTCGACGAATAAGCAAGTTCAACTCCTGCTCCTACGCCTAATAGGTAAGGCTCGGCTCGGGATTTAGAACATCTGGATGTCAAGGCTTTGTGAACCGGCCCTAGCCTAAAGTCAAAGCTGAAAGAGGAAAGAAAGCCATATAAGGCACTCCTAAGCAGCCCCAGACGCACCAACAACCCACATGCTTTTAGTGTGAGAAGTTTATTCATATAATCCTAGACTGAAAATGCATGCGAAAATCCAAAGAACTTGGGCAACGAGACTGGATCCAGGGGAAGCAGGCTGCCTCGCGAGCAATCGAGACACGGAACGACCACCAAACAGGATGCAGGGCAGTGACTGGGGCTACAGAGAAAAGTGTCGCAGTTGAAATCCTACTACGGGCTCATCTATGCTGATACAAAGTCGCATTACTGGCAAATTTTCTAAAGCCACTTGGCACTGCTTATGAAGCGAATCTACTATCCGAAGAGAGACGTCATATAAGTGCAGCATGCCTGTTCACTCGCTAGCGCAGTCTCTAGCACTCAGGTTTGCTGATAGGCAATAGGACTCCAGCATTGGCAAGGCTATAGGAGTTATCTGCCACGTCCAATCCAAAGCGAATCCCATCAGTATGATCCCTGACTAATGTCGAACCTGTGTTCTACGTAGTCCCATATCGGCCACGGGTGATGTGCTTTTAGCAGACGCGCGTTGCGGAGGCTCGTTTGGTAGGAAGCGCTAGAAAGAAGCAGCTCCTTGTTTTCTCATCAACGCCTATCTCCTGGTTGTTCATCGAGGTATAGTCGATACCCTAACAAGGTGAGGCCGAGCCTCTGTGTGAGTGGCACAGCAGCGCAATAAAAGGAGGCGGTTCTACTCATGCATACCGTAACTCTAGAAAGGGTTTTTAACTGAGAATCTTGATCAAGCACTGAGCCCAGAAAAAAAAATTGTGTTGAGGAATTTGCGAGTGTGCTAAATCATGACGAGCTGCCAGCAAGCTAGACTGAACATCAGTGTTAGTGTATCATTAGAAATAATCTGAACTTTGATAGCCCTAAACAAGTTCTCTCTTTTTGGTGCCTCCTGCTGTACAATTTTGCAGTAAAGTGTTCTAAGTGCACCCACTACGCGGTCACCGATGCGCTCCCGCGACGCCCCAGCTATTCACTACAATCCAGTACAGCCGCTCTTTTTCATGAGGATTTACGCTTTCTATCAAAATCACGTAACCTTCGTGCTTTGAAAAGTCATGCAGCTGCTACTATTGCCTAAACCCTAAATGGCAAAAAGGGGTGAAGCCTTATCACGTTAAGGATAGACTGCTGTGGTTCAAAACAAAAAGCAGACTCCGTCGCGTAAACCTCCCAAATTCATTTTGCAATGCCTGTCTATACAACAAACATGCTCGGACCATGGGAGGATCCATAGTGCACTGGGAAAGCTCTCACAGTACTGTAGGTGGCGTGGGATGCGACCGAACCCAGATGAGTTTGCTCCCGCATGCCCAGACTGTCAGCAGCTAAAGCCATGTAGCTAATCTATAGCCGACCTTCTGCAAACTTTTCTAGTTACTAAAATATGTAACCTGATCTGACTATGGACCCTATCTTTGGACTGCCACAGGTCAAGGGTCAGGAAATATATCTGTCGTTATTAACAGACTCAGCAAATCTACCTATTTCATCCCTTGCTCCAGCTCTATCACGGCTCAAAAAGCCCCTTAATCAGCCTTTATTCGAATCTGGAAGCTTTACAGATCTTCCCGTGTATGACGTTGGAGAGGGATCCGATGTTCACTAGTGCGTTTCCGCGTGCCCTTGACTCGCCTAGACAGTGGCTTCAATGTGATCACAAAGAACCCCGCTAAGGCAGAGGGACAGAGCGCACTAAGTGCACTGTAGTGTTTGTAGCTCTCTGCTCACACAAATCTAGTGGCTTGAATTTCTTCTGTGTGTCGAGTGGGTTCATAATACAGTACTACCCTCGTCTGTCCGCCGCCCCGTATTCTGGTCTACACTAAGGAACTCCTGCCCGACCGGGGGTCGGACCGGGTAGTCTGGGGTCAGCAGCCATTCCTAAAGGCGGACTCAAAGAAAATGTGGCTACTGCACGTGAATGCATGCAAAGATGAGGGGAGAAAAGCACGGAATCCTGATAAGAAACGGCATGATGCGTGTTTGGACCTAGGAGATTTGATCCTTGTGGATTGCCATGTTCTATGACATGCATTAGAAGGCTACCAGAAAAAGGAAGTTTGAAGTCAGGTGGCTAAGACAATTTGCGAATCCCTCACAAATCAATGGTCCTTCTTACTCTATCAACTGCTCTAGAGGTGCCACAGACGCATCGATTTCAGTCACGAATTATTTATGGACACCCGAGCAGGCAAGTGACCTGTATGAAGGTGGAGAATCCAGACAGCCGCAGCAGTACTTGTTCTGGTATTATTAAGCACAGTTGGCCTGCTAGAGACGAATCCCTAGTTAAATGGGGAGGGGAAAGCCCACCTTAGTGGTCGTCAGAGGAGCAATCGCGGTTTCGTTTATGGCCTGCAAATTTTTGCAGCTCTATTTTGTTAACAACGTAGTCGCCATGGATAAAGTCCCCTAAGCTTCCTGCGTATTTGTCGCTCTCCAACACATGCTCTCACTCAAATTACAACCTTCATCCATAAGTTGTTTGCCTGGAAAATTCTTGGTTGGAATTGTTAGGATATTTTCTATTCTCAGATTTAGGCGCAGGCATTTCTAGGTGTGATTCCGCCTGTGGCAGGGCGCGTCTGTTTTTGTTCATAACAACAAACTCCTCAACGAACATTTGCGGTGAAGAACTAAAGCTGGACATGAACTGGCGCCAAGCTGCGTTTTGGGCTTCGAAACCGACTACGCTGCCTGCGTGGCTGTATTGGTATGCTGGAATTGCTTTATGAGGCAAAATGGCACTGTTGAGCAGGTGCCTTTTTGAATCCCTTTACAAATTTACTTGTATTCTAGAAGCAGGAGACTCACACATTTCATCGCTCCTACGACAGCGTGCTATAGAACTTCCGCTGTGGTATTAGCTTGGGCCCTCGTTCGTTGGAGGCTGATGTGTATGTGTGTGCTTTACTTCGCGTGGATTTTACTCTAACGGTTGATGCACAAATTTTTTTCTATCTTTTGGGCTGTTCTTGCGGCTCTGTGGGCCTGCGGAGTGGTGATAGGGCAGACAGTTTCCCGCTGTTCTGTACGCTGCTTTTCTCGATGTACAAATACGGGGCACGAGAGCATGTGCTTTGAGATCAGTAAGGAAAGCGGGCTAAGCTTCTTTTAAACACTTTGTACCACATTGGTTATATCGAGCTTCGAGTTAGTAGAACGTTGACTTATTGGTGTGTCGGTTCGCATATCTTTTTTTTGCAGCGAAGAGTTAGCTCGATACAAGGAAGCCCAATGCTGTGTATGCTAGAAGCTTTATGTAAGTTGCTGCGAACGCTAAGAGCATGGAGTGCTTAGATGGTGCAGCTACATCAAGTTGTCTCTTCCCTCATCCTTGGACCTCTAATGGTCTCGAGGAATAAAAGACTGTTCGAATATCACACAAAAACTTTTATGCTACTCCTAGTGAGGCTATGGTAGACAGTATCTATGAGGAGACCCTATTTGGACCGATACAAGCTCATATAGGAAGGATGAGACGCATCTCTTGTGTTCAGTCGTAAAAGTTCAGGCTAGTTAAGTCCGTGGGCAGTTAGATGAGGTGTGTTTGTGACGCTCCATCTCAGGTCACTGTGGGGAGACGCTTATCTTACGACTAAAGGCAAACGTAATATAACGTTATTGGATGTTCTTCAACGGTATTGCCTACTTTCTCTGCCCACGCCGCTAAATATCCCCGTGACACATCCGTGGCCAGCCTTGTATTGCTCCATCTCAGGCCTCTGTAGACAGACACTTTACTCCGGGCTCTACGCAAACTTCTTAATTCAGTGCTTTCCGAAATTGCTACCTCCTTGCACTGCCCGCACCGCTCAGGGCTCCGACATGAGGGGAGAGGGACAGCCAGGCTGCGGCTTGCTGGGCCCTCAAAACACTCCGATCGTTCGCAGCTTGTTGAATGGTCCATCTGGCCCACCCGCACACAAAATGGATACTTACTGTATCGAGCTAGCGTTTCTCTGCAATAAGTAAGATACTCGAAGATTCATGCCGAGTGGTCAATTCGTTACTAATCGTTCTTTCTCCCACACAACTTGTACAGTAGAATGTGCTGTAGCGTAGCTTTGCCCGCCACAAGCCCCTTGCCTTAGCTGCTGGCCTCAGGATTTGCAGTGACACTGCGGGACCCTTTGCTTGTGATGTGCACCGCTCTAGAGCCATTGCCGTCTATGACCAGCGTTGGATTCTACACGGCAGTTTGTCGGCCGAGGCGTAGCGCGGGTGCCCACTGCTTTGTTTTTAGGAACGTAGGACGACCCTAAGTACAGCGGCAGCCAGTTTGAAGAGTCAGTGGCCTAACTTGACTAAATCGCTTTCTCCGGTGTTTTTCGACAGAGTGCAGCAGGGTGCTGGGGGGCACTGGCAAACACCCAAGCGTGGGCTGCCTCACCAGTAGGTTGGACCTCTGTGCACAGCTATATGGGATCACGGTGCCAACATCCGGATGCAGAACTTAGTGTTGGCAACCAGACAGCACAGGGTATGAACGTTGGGGGGCCTACTGCACACAGTCAGTCGGCGCTGCAGCTGCTGCTGCAGCTGTCCGCCGTCCACCGAGCTGTTAAGAGCCGGCTGGTGAAGAGGGGGGTAAGAAGGCTCTCGGCAGTCAGCTGCTTTCATTTCAGGCATAAGACACACATAATTATAAGCCGAAACGCTTGTTCGGAGGGAGCTCTTTTACTGGTGCTTCCTCAGGAGGAGGAGGAGCAGCAGCAGCAGCAGCCAGGCGCAGCAGCAATGCGTCATGGGGACCTCTTAGAGACCCTCGCCTGAATGCCTAAGTGGATGGACGATATTTCGTCGCACATTGTGGCAGATTGTTGTACAATCCATAGCCTCATAGGCGGCAACAGCAGTAACACCGACCGCACCAGAGACTCGCGGGGTTCTCCTTCTGCCTCCGTCCTGTCCGTCCGGAAGGCGGCAGGGCACCCCAACAGCTCATCCCCTGTGCAGGCAGCTTTTGCTTCATTGCAGCAGTAACAGCAGAGTCAACGTGCTGTAGCAACGGCGCACATGGTGTGGCTGTTTTCCCCGCTTTGTGGCGTGATTCCTCGTCAGCCTTTGCCTCACCTAGGAAGGTCCAAGAGTACTTCTGCTGTATCGGGTTACGCACGCACAGAAGCAGCAGAAGTATAGGCAGCGGGAGTAGCAGCAGCAGCAATAGGAGCAGGGGAAACAGCACGAGCAGACACGCGCGGAAACAGCACCCGGAAGAAACTCTCGGGGTGGTTTCGTCCTGCGACACTCCGGGGTATTTTTTCCTGAATCCAGCAGGAGCGTCAGCAGCACATTCAGTCATTATTATTGTCAGCTGCGTCAGCGGAAATCCCCCGACTATGGGCATGGAGGCTGCAGCAGCCTTGGGACGCGGGGATCCATTTACCCTCGCCACGGCATCTCCTGGAGGCGGCATTGAATTGTATCTGCAGCAAGATGACGCACATCACGCCGCAGCCGCTATTTCAGCAGCTCCTGAAACGCAGCAGCAGCGTGTGGGCCCGCAAGGATCGGGAGCACCTGGCGTGAAGCAACCGCAGCGTCACCAGCACCAGCATCAGCGAGATGTCAGGGGCACACAATCCGAGCTAACTTCCGCAGCAGCTCCGCAGGACGGCAATCACCTTCAGCAACAGCAAGATGGCCGCAGGGGTCCTCCGACAGAGGAGCGGCTTCGAATACGTGAGAAGTACAGGGAGAGGCTAAAGGAACGGAAGCTGCAGATTTATCAAAGGGCCCTTGAGGAAGTCATTCAGCGGGAAAAGGAAGGCTCCCAGATGCAACTCGTCTTCCAGCTACAGCTACCTACAAGGGTTCGGAGCCGATTATCCTGCTGCCACCTCTCGGCTGCGCTGCTGTCTTCCCGCCAAGCGGCGACCTCGACGATTTCTTGAAATGCTGCGCGATGGCAGAGCGGCCTCGAGGGCGCTCTGCGTGGCTTCTAGTGTTGACCTCTACTGAGTGTTTGATAGTTGCTGTCTGTTGCTTACTCGGCGATTTTTCAAGGCTCCCTGTTGACCCTCAAGCCTGCTGGCAGAGCGGTTATGGCTGCGACGGCTGCTGCTGCTGTTGCTGTCTGCTTCAGTTTGGCGAGAATGTGTATATGGTGGGAAATGAGGCCTGCGTTGGGCGATGGCGAATGGAAGATGCGCGCCCGATGCACTGGAGCGAAGGAAACGTCTGGAGTACCGCACTTGCAATCCCGAACGGTACATGGTGCCTCCCAGCATCCCTCGCTGCTCTTACTATTATCGTTGCTCTGACTGCTGCTACCCCTCCTATGGGTTCAACCTCTAGAGGATCAAGTCATGGGCCTTTCTGCTTGCTGCGTGTGCTGCCGCACATTGGGGCACTGCTGTGTGGTTATGTTCTATGTACGTATAATATATGAATGGATGTGTGTATGTATGTATTTAAATGGATGCGTGTATGTATGAATGCATGTATGCATAGATGGATGGATAGTGTGTGTGTGTACGTGTATGTGTGCGTGTGTGTGTATGAACACCAGGACTTCATCGGCTGGAGTACAAGTATATCATCAAGGAGGGTTCTAGAGTTACATGGGAACCTGGAAAGAATCACATCTGGGGGCCCCGTTCCCCCATGGGGGCCCTTGCGTCGGGGGAACCCATCACGATCTGTGACTCATGGGGGGGTGGCCTCGGGTAGATGACGGCGCATTACCAAGCAGCAGAGTGGCGCCAACGACTGGCAAAACGCTTTATGCGAAGGTGGCCCCAGTAGCAGCTCTTTATGGCTATATAATTATACATATAACTTGTTTCACCTCCCTTTAAGTTCTTGGAGGACTTACTGAATAGTCTTGCTATAGCCAGTATGTCCATTTTCCCTCCATATTGCCTATCGATCTGGGCAGTGGCTCTTGCAGCCAAGGCGCACACGGGCAACGGGTTGCCGCAGCTCCACCTCCGCTGTTAGCGCCTCAGATTACATCTGACAAGAACCTCTCGAGGCGGGGTGTTGCGTTGCGCGCAAAGGCGCTGGACATCTTTTGCTAAGTGCAGCTCCACGAGGCATGTAGAACGATTTTCAATTGTGGGTAGAAAATGCGCGCGGCGAAGTACTCGCCCGCTAGTAGACTGGTGCTTTGCCGTTGCTGCCTATCCTGTTACTAGTCCAGAACGACTTTGTGCGCTTGGTTTTTCATCCCGCCGCTAGCAACCAGCGCACTGCCTAGACAGCTACCTAGCAATGGGAGCCACTATCGGCTTGCGGGCCGGGGGCAGTGCCATCAGGTAGCACAAGTGCCGCCTCAAAGATGGTGGCTGGGGTCGAGTCTGCGTCGAGAGAGCCACGTACGCAGGAAGATTGCCTTTGCTGTACAGGCCGCCATACCCTGTGCGCTAGGGGGCAAAAGGGAAGTGCGAGGGGGGAAGGGGGGGAGCAAGCTGCCAAGGCCTCGGTATAAGCGGAAGCCTAGGGGATTCCCTAGAGGAGCATTTGACCTCGAAAACGGGGCGCCTATAGAGCAGCATCCGGCGAGCAGTTGCCGCAGATATGCGTATATCCCTCTTAACGAACGCGTGCGGCCGGCCACCTTATCTCCTTTTACAGCGTCTGCGCCATGGGGATGCGGTTGGCAAGAAGTACAGAACCGGGAGATGGAGCTTTTGGTCCCCTAGCCAGTGTGTGTGCCGACCGTAAGTAGCTCTGCAAGGCCGCCTAACTACTTCGACGAGCCGCTATGGGCTCTAAGCGCAGGAAGGAAGTTCGTGAATACAAGGGAGAGAAAACCTTAGACACCCAGGAGCAAGGGAGATGCACGGCTGCATGCGGCAGAGCACACAAGGTTGCTGAAGTGGTATGGCAGATACGTCTACAATGCAGACCCGTTCATGTGAAGGCCAGCCGTCCACAAGACAGCCCCATCAGGCGTTGCGTTTTCACCGATTTCGTCTCCCTCTCTCTCTGTCTACGGACGTAGGGGTAACTGCATACTAACCGAGTTCCTGCGCTGTTCCTGACGCAAAGCTGCTGTACTAGAAGCAGCAGTAGGAGCAAAAAGGTGTAGGTTCCCTTAGCACTATTCTTTCCTTTTCTGTCCCTGCCCCTCGGGAGTAGGAGGGATAAAAGGCCTGAACTACATTGACGGTCTGGCTTTTTGCGTGCTAAACGAGGCTGCCCGAAGGCCGAGGCTGACACTGCAGACAAGGGGATTCTTTTCGTTGGCGGAGTCAGCGCTGCCTCCCCCAATAAACCCCTCGCAGTTGGGAGCCCCGCAAAGGCAAAGCATTTCTTCGTATCCTGGACCATACGCATATGTTAGGGCAGCGCCTGAGGAAGTACCACACCGAGGGGAATGACCCCGAATGGAATCCATGGATACCTGTTAGTAAAGCGACGTAGAACTATATACAGGCGGGTGTGTGTGTGTGTGTGTGTGTGTGTGTGTGTGTGTGTGTGTGTGTGTGTGTGTGTGTGTGTCTGTGTGTGTGTTTGTGTGTGTGTGTGTGTGTGTGTGTGTGGGTGTGTGGGTGGGTGCGCCTAGATCGGGAGTGCACACCGCAGACCTCCGGTCAGAAGTGGAGTGTGTGTGCCTGTGTCGGTGTTACAACATAAGATGAGGTCGGTGTTGTGGTTTTT